AGAGCCACCAAATAACAGCATTTTGCATCTGCACATCAATCTTACATCACAAGAGGAATTGAACCATCATTTTTAAATGCTGTGACATGGAAATAGGTTAAGGGGCAGTTATAAATTGATCAAGGGGGCCGGCCCGGTGGCACACTGCTACAGTGCGCCGCTTGGGAGCACGGCGGCGCTCCCGCCGAGGGTTCGGATCCCACATACAGACCGGTTCCTGCTCACTGGCTGAGCGAGGTGCGGGCGCAGTGCCGAGGGTTGCGATCCCGTTGCCGGTCCCGGTCCGGTACGGGCGCGACACTGAGGGTTGCGATCCGTTGCCGGACACGAAAAAAGACAAAAAAGGAAAAAATAAATTAATTAATTAATTGATCAAGGGACACTGGGGGCAGAGAGTGAGTGCTGAGAGTACTAAGGAGAAGCAGAAATAGAGAATGGGAGGGAAGAAGATATTTCTCCCATTGCTAGCCATGTAACTTGGCCAACTCAACTCTAATATCTGTTAGTAAAGTGAGGACAATGATGCGAATTAGTACAGGAAATTGAATCAGCTGATACAAAAGAAAGGTTCAGAGGTGCTTACGATTAGCTTGAGGTTTTGACAGCATCAGAAAGGAGACATGACATCTTTGAACATATTTAGCACATATATATTTATGTACGTATAAAGCTCCTACTTCCAATCTTTGGCCAGTCAGCTCAGTTGGTTAGAGCGCAGTGTTATAACACGAAGGTCAAGGGTTCAGATCTCCATATCGGCCAGCCCCCCCCCCCACACACACACACACATGTAATATAATAAAATGTTAAAACTTCGGAAAGAAGTCTCACTGTCAATTACTTTGTAGATGTTTTGAATCAAGTGGCAGGAGAGAGGGTTTCGGAGTCACAACAGCTAGCCCAGAAGAGGGCACCATTACCCAAGAAATGTTTGAAAGGGGCCTCAAACAAACAGGGAAAATGCTTCTAAGGAAGGATTCAAAAGGAAGACCTGTTGGGATGCCAGCAAAGGAGTCATGAGTTTGATTTTAATACCTGATTCTCGTGTCTCTCTTTTCCCTATCCCCATTAAGCAAATAGCCAGTCTTCCTCCATTCCCCAAAAGCCTTCTCAAAACAGAGTGGTCCCCAGTATTTTCTCTTCTATAGGCTCTTTCCACTGTTTTTTCCTCATAGATCTGACATTTTGAAACATTCTGTCTGCTAGGTTGCATTTAGTAATAATTGACTCACGGTCATTCTTCTAACCTATGAATAACATACAAATGCCATTCAACAGTGTAACACCAGCATACAGTAGTGCTGTATTATTGAGCTGATGTAATTTCAAATACAGGCAAAGAAACTTGATGTTTTAGTTGGCAAGGAGTTAGGAAAAGGAAATGTATAACTTCTATTGGGATTTTTGAAATATTGAAAATAACTTGCAAAGAACCCAGCTACTCTCTGAGGATTTCTAGCAGTCTGAGATCCCAGATGATATATATGACAAGTGCTATCTCAGATTATATGAGCGTCTAGAATAAACCCATACTTTTTGCATATTTTATTCCTTTTAACGAAAAACTTGTTAGCTAAGGGCATAATACTTCCCCCAGGCATATCTAGATTTTGGTAGAAGATACTTCTATAATCTTTACGCAAAAGACCAAATCTATAATAGAGGAATTCCAAACAACCTGACAAAAACAGGGGACCTGCATAGTGGGCCATGTATTTATCTACCAGGCAAGTTTTGTGACTGTATAAATATATTAAAACATACACCTATATATTTATAACAATGTTAAGTACTGCCTACATTGGGCACTTTGATAGAATATCCCCAAATCTGACAACAATCCTGTAAGTAGATATCATTACTATCTCCCTTTTATAGATGAGAAAACAAATCAGAGAAGTTTGATAACTTGCTCCATCACACAGCTACCAAGGATTGGAATTGGGACTCAAACTTGGGTCTGACTCCTAAACTCAAGGCTAGCTGCCTCAAGAAAATAGCTTTCTGGGCCGGCCCTGTGGCTCACTCGGGAGAGTGTGGTGCTGATAGTGCCAATGCCACAGGTTCAGATCCTATATAGGGATGGCTGGTGTGCTCACTGGCTGAGCGTGGTGCTGACACCACCAAGCCAAGGGTTACGATCCCCTTACCTGTCGGGGGGGAAAAAAAAAGAAAGAAAATAGCTTTCTCACTAGAGAATAGACTGCAATAGGGAAGCGAAATCAAAAATTAAAGTTTCCACAAAAAAAAATTATTAATGGGAAAAATATGCAGATCACCTATGTAGAGAATAGTCTTGCAAACAAAAAAAAAAAAAGAAAGAAAATAGCTTTCTCACTAGAGAATAGACTGCAATAGGGAAGCGAAATCAAAAATTAAAGTTTCCACACAAAAAAATTATTAATGGGAAAAATATGCAGATCACCTATGTAGAGAATAGTCTTGCAAACAATAGCACATATTCCCATTTTTAATATTTATGGTTATATGATTTTTTCAGGATAAAGGAAGTTAAGTTGATTGGTTTCATAATAGTGTCATTTAATGCATCTAATTAGAGAGTATGCTAATGCATCCAGTGGCAAAACTGGATGGATTTCACTGATACCTAGACATGGCTAGAGCCACAAGACTCTGGAGTCCTCACTCTACTAAGAAACTTGTGTCAGTCCAAAAATCTATGATGAAAAACAGTTGTTGGTACTGCTTTTTTCAAGGGTTGGCAGGGATTGATGCAGAAATACAGAACTGGGAGCAATTCTCAGGAATCTTGCATGAGTTCACTATTTCACAAGATCCTCGCTGAATCTTATAAGGTAAAACCTTAGAGTTGGAAGCGTTCTTCAGAATCATCTAGTTCGGCCATCCTGTTAAGCTAAACACTGGAAATCCCTCTGCAACATACCAGTAAAGACATCACCAAGCTTGTGTTTGAATGCCCTAAATAACGGGAAATTCATTATTTTAACAAACCTACCTAATTCATCTTTAGATAGTTTTGTCTAATAGGAAGTTCCTCATATTGAGTTGAAATCTTTCTCCTAACTTCCATCCACTGGTGCTGATTCCATGCTGTAAGACCCCTTAAAGCAATGCTCCTGCCTCTACCTCTCCCACAAGTCTTTGCAAGATTACCGCTCTTGACACTTTGAGCAGGGTTTTGAATGTCCTTGTGACCATAGCTAATCTTCTTGGAATGCCATGGTACGTTGGTCAGGGTCCACTGAAAACCACTAGTCAAGAGTGAATGGTATGACCACAGCAAAACAGAGTAGTGGCTCTGACCTCCCCTGCTCTGCCACAGGGCCTGCATGCAGCTTTCCACAGTGCCAAGCTTCACTCTGGCCTTCACTGTTATCAGGATGGTGAGAGTTGGAAAGAGGCACTCTACAATTTATCAGGCACCGCACTCTCCCGAGTGAGCCACAAGCCGGCCCCCACTCTACAATTTAAATCATCCTTGAGGTCTAAGGCCTTGAAAATCCTCAGAAACCTCTTAGAAAAAACATCCTCTCAACAATTAAGTCAGCACTGTCATCTACCCAATATGCCAAAATCAGTCTTGATTGCCTCATTTTCCCCAATCCCAAGAAAACTTACCATTCCACCACTTGATTTGAAAAGGGCTGCCAAGGGCCGGCCCGTGGCTCACTCGGGAGAGTATGGTGCTGATAACACCAAGGCCACGGGTTCGGATCCCTATATAGGGATCCGAACCCGTGGCCTTGGCGTTATCAGCACCGCACTCTCCCGAGTGAGCCACGGGCCGGCCCCAAACCAGTCATCTTTTAAAAAATAAAAAAAACTGCCAGAAAAAATTCTAGCAAAGTTATGCAGGTCTTGTGAGCAGAACTGGGTCAAAATGTAGACGAACTGCTGAAAATCTATCAGCCATCTCCCTTCTTTAATTCAGAACCTCCCTTTTACTCACAAGCCATTCGGCAACCATCCTCCTTCCCTTCTATTTCCACCTTCTATCTCCACCATCCAACTTCTTACTGTCATGCTATAGAGAAATAAAGAGGAACCAGAGAAATACAGCCAAATGTCTGTTGCCACAGGAATTTTGGACGTAGTCAGTCACATTTGGATCCATTTGTTCTTGTTCACGCTGGTCAAATAGGAGACCCTGGGCAGCAATGATTGGATGAAAGAAATTCTGCTACAAAGTAGCCAACACATTTATATAAATTCTTTCTGGTAATAATAAAAGACTTCAGGTACGAAGTATCTATGCGACCCTAAAACACTGTTTTCTGGATTTTGTGTTGAAATCTGGTGATAGCCACTTACTGCAAGAATTAAGTATTGGTGTACATAAATTCACTACTGGGTAGTAAATTAGCATCCTATGTATTTGAGACATTAATGAATGTCTGAAAATTCAAGTTAATTACATTTAATTGAAAGAGAACCAATGATTCTGTGTTTTTATTGCAAACAATCTATATAGTGCCAATAAATCATAGTAAAATAAACTTTAAAAAGCTTTAAAATAGGGGCCGGCCTGGTGGCGCACTGCTACAGTGCGCCGCTTGGGAGCGCAGTGGTGCTCCCGCCGAGGGTTTGGATCCCACATACAGACCGGCCGCTCACTGGCTGAGCGAGGTGCGGGCGCAACACCAAAGGTTGCGATCCCGTTGCCGGTCCCGGTCCAGTACGGGCACGACACTGAGGATTGCGATCCGTTGCTGGTCACGAAAAAAGACAAAAAGGAAGAAAAAAAAAAAGCTTTAAAATAGCAAAAAAAAAAGAAAAAGAAAAAAGCCAGTAATTAGAACAAAATATGTAATGAGGTTAATAGCACATATGCTTGGCTTTAGAGGATCCTTATATACTCCATTGATTGAAAGATTCTATGGTTATGCTATACATTTTTATAGGAAAAAAAAAAGTTTACAAAAGAAAATCAAACGCTGGCTGGCGGGTTAGCTTAGTTGGTTAGTTAGAGAGCAGTGTCAGATACCCATACTGGCCAACCACCAAAAAAAAAAAGAAAATTAAACATTGATGACTGGAGTTAGTTGTAGTAAGGAAGCAGATGTGAGTGTTTGACTGTTCTTTGTGCCTTCAAAGTTCTGCAGAAAATTCTGTCTTCTTTTTAGTCCTTCCAAAATGACTGAATTATTAGATGCCAGACTCTGTGTCCTAAAGATATTAAAAATAACAGAATTATTGTCTTCAAAAGGGACCTGGATTTCTAATCAAGGCATTATACTTTGATTTGTTACTCTGAAGCATTTCTTAACACTAAGGTACACTTATAAAACACATTCACCTTTAAAAATCAAAGTGCTCTTCACATTTTAGAGGTTTCACAATACAGCACCTCAATCATTTGACGGCTGCTTTCAGAGAAGTTCATATTTTCCGAACATCTGTCCTTAAATCTAATATCAGGTATATTCTATTCAGAAGCAATAAATTCCCTGAAAAACTCTTCTATACATCTGAAGTGGTCAATATCTTCCTGTATAATTTATTACTTTTATGAAAAGTCACATGGAAGGAAAAAGCCAACTATTTTTCTTATGGACAATGTTATTATCTTAGGAGCTATAAGCTATGTTAGTCCTTTATCTAAACATCTGCCTTGCTTCAGTCAAGTCATATTACTGTTTGGTTATTTTTGCTTTTGACATTCCCCTTTTCCCACCTTGTTCCTCCCCATCCACTGTCCATTACATTAGGATATATCTCAAAAATCTGTCCTCAGTAAGTCTTCCCCCACACAGCCCATCTTTATCCCACATTTCTTTGACAATTATGAAGAGTTTTACACTTTGTTCTTGAGTTCAACTTGTCTGTGTTTATTGCTTGATGGTCTCTTCAACTAAATTAAGTTGTAAGTTTCCTGTAGGTAGCAGCAATGTCTTGTTCATCTCTGTCTCCCTAATCCTTATAACAATTATGGCACATAGTTGATATTCAAATGTTATTTCCCTCCCTTTTCCTCTTTAATGATTATAGATAGTTATAAGCCTTTCAAGAAAACCATACAATAAGCAATTAAGTTTCTCAAGATTTTGCAAATTAAGTCTCAGTTGCATGTCAAAAAGTAATTTTCCTAATCTGTTTTTTGTTTTTGCCAAAAAGAAAGGGAACCCATGGTTTATTGGTTTATGCCGCAATTGTTTAGTTTTGGAGACAACATGTTTTGGTTCTCTTAAAGACTTGCCAATTAGCTCAATCGGTTAGAGCATGATGCTGATAACACCAAGCCAGTTAACTCAATTGGTTAGAACATGGTACTGATAACACCAACGTCAGGGGTTCAGATCCCTGACTAGCGAGCCACAAAAATAAATTAATTTTTTTAAGAAAAAAGCAAATAAGAGGACTAGCCCGTGGCTCACTTGGGAGAGTGCGGTGCTGATAACACCAAGGCCATGGGTTCAGATCCCTATATAGGGATGGCCGGTTAGCTTGCTTGGGAGTGCGTGGTGCTGACAACACCAAGTCAAGGGCTAAGATCCCCTTACCGGTCATTAAAAAAAAAAAAAAAGCAAATAAGACTAATAGGAATCAAACTATTATTGCAAGCAGAAAACATCTTGTTCCCCCAATAAAGAAGTAATGATATGTTTAAAAGATGTAGACTTCTAGAAATTTAGACTGGGTAAACAGTCAGAAATACCCACAAACACTTATATGGAGAGTCTTCAAAAAGTTCGTGGAAAACACATATTATTAAAAAAAGTGAACATTTTTTTGCACCAAAGTAATAAACTCATATTAACTTGTCATAACAAGCCTGAACAGGATCTAGCTTGAGGCACTAAGAAGGATAAGACATCAGTTTGAAAAGAGCCCCTATGGGCCAGCCCGGTGGCGCACTGGAGAGTGCGCCGCTTGGGAGTGCGGCGGCACTCCCGCTGAGGGTTCGGATCCCATGTGGAGACAGGTTTCCGCTCACTGGCTGAGCGCGGTGCGGGCGCAACACTGAGGGTTGCAATCCCGTTACCGGTCAGTAAAAAAGAGACAAAAAGGAAAAAAAAAATTAGCATTTGACAGGACAACAAGATATAGGGGGAAACTGCTAAGGAGTTAAATGTCTAACAATAGAGGACTGGCTGATGAAGTATGGTTCACTGATTTATTAATTACAATTACTGAATTCATCAAATACTTTTTGAGCACCCCATGTGCTGGGCTCTGTTTTATACATTAGGAGTTCTTTGGTTATTCTGCATTGAACACTTGAAATATGCCTTTAGTTAAAAGAAAAAAAAATTTTTTTTTTTTTTTGTCTTTTGTCTTTTTCCGTGTCCGGCAACGGATCGCAACCCTCAGTGTCGCCCCCGCACCGGACCGGGGACCGGCAACGGGACCGCAACCCTCGGCGCTGCTCCCGCGCCTCGCTCAGCCAGTGAGCGGGAACCAGTCCGTATGTGGGATCCGAACCCTCGGGCGGGAGCGCCGCTGCGCTTCCCAAGCAGCGCACTATCCAGTGCGCCACCGGGCCGGCCCAGAAAAAATTTTTTTAAAAAGTGAGAGAATAAAGAGAAAAGAAAGAGGAGGAAAAAAAATAGGGAGGGGAGGAAGTGGGGGAGAAATACAGGGGTCGGGGACCTCGGGTGGCTCCTGCCCATGTGTACCCCTAGTGGAGGGCTGACCTCGGCTGCTGCCGGGCAGCTGGGGCCCCCACATGCTGAGTTGCACCCCAGTTTTCTTTCCTGAGCCCCCTGACCTCCAGCGAGTCAAGTCGAGCCCCAGCCGGCCTTGAACAGCCCCGTAACCAGGCATCCTCCAGGCCCACACGGGGGCAGGAAAGGCACCCAGGCCTGCAGCAGCAGACCATCCACATCAATTTGCACGGAAAAAATCCTGTTCACGCCCTAATTGAAGAGGACTGACAATTAACAGCAGAAACAGTACCAAACAGCACAGACATCTCAATTAGCAACTTACACCATTCTGACTGAAAAATTACAGTTGAGCAAACTTTCTGCTCAATGGGTGCCAAAACTGCTATGCCCAGACCAGCTGCAGACATGAGCCAAGCTTTCAATGGAAACTTTATTTTTTTAAAAAAGATGACCAGTAAGGGGATCTTAACCCTTGACTTGGTGTTGTCAGCACCACGCTCTCCCAAGGGAGCTAACCAGCCATCCCTATATAGGGATCTGAACCCGTGGCCTTGGTGTTGTCAGCACTACACTCTCCCAAGTGAGCCACAGGCCTGCCCTTTCAATGGAAACTTTAAACAAGTGGGATCAAGATCTTGAAGCTTTTCGTCAAAGAACTGTAACAGAAAATGAAACATGGCTTTACCAGTATGATCCCGAAAACAAAGCATAATCAAAGCAATGGCTACCAAGAGGTGGAAGTGGTCCAGTCAAAGCAAAAGTGGACAGATCAAGAGCAAAGATCATGGCAACAGTTTTTTGGCATACCCAAGGAATTTTGCTTGTTGACTTTCTGGATGGACAAAGAACAGTAACATCTGCTTACTATGAGTGTTTTCAGAAAGTTAGCCAAGCTTTAGCAGAAAAATGCCCAGAAAAACTTCTCCAGCGAGTCCTTTTCCACCATGACAATGCTCCCATTCATTCCTTTCATCAAACAAGGACAATTTTGCAGGAGTTTTGATGGGAAATCATTACGCATCCACCTTACAATCCTGATTTGGATCCTTCTGATGTCTGTTTGTTTCCTAATCTTAAAAAAATCTTTAAATGGCACACATTTTTCTTGAGTTAATAATGTAAAAATGACTGCACTGACATGGTTACATTCCCAGGATTCCTTAGTGATGGCTGGTATCATTGCTTATAAAAGTGTCTTTTTTGTTGTTGTTGTTGTTGTTTTTAAGTTTATTTATTAATATTATTTTTTACATTCTAAGATGTTATGAAGCAGTTGCAGGGGAGGAGAGGTGGGGAAGGGGAAGGAAATAGGCTGGTAGAAAGAGGAAGGAGAAAGTGAGTTGAGGCCATGGCACCCCCCCTCATTCCTGCAGGGGAGACCAGGGGGCTTCCATTGGTGGCTTGGTCATTGCTGGGCTGGATGCAGATATCAGCGGGGTATGGCTGAAGCCCTCAGCCCCCCACCACCCCAGCTCAGGAGACCAGAGGCTTTCAGTGGTGGCTTGGTGGTCATCACTGGGCTGGCTGTGGGGGTGTTGGGGTGCATGGCTCAGGCCCCCAGCCCTCCCCCTTCCCTGGCTTGGGAGCCCAGGGGCTTCTGGTCCTTCTAGGTTTTATAGGTGTTCTTTGGTGATGTGAGACCTTTACTAGTTAATATCAAACTTTGTCTCTGATCTGTTGGTATTTTGTTTTTTCTTTCAGTTTTGTGTTGGATTATTTGCTGTTCCCACCAATTAAATTCTGCACTGGAACTAATTTGTTGTCCTTTGCTTACTTCTAATATGGGGGAACTTCCTATGGGGACCAGCACTTGAGCCCTGTAGTTGAGCTATATTGCTGCTTTGCTGCTGATTCTCTGGGGAAGGCTTTTTGTGCAGCTCAGGTTTTAATTGTTGACCTTGTATGTACTTCCTGGTCTCGTGAGGTCCGGTACACCTGGGTTGTGTGGAAACTCTGGTCTGGGCCTGAGACTTTTCAGCAAACTGCACCCCCTGCAGATCTGTATTTCTGACCAGTCTCCTCTGAGTGGGCCTGCGCTGATTGGGGGGCAGATCAGCTGTCCATGCTGTGCCCCAGTGTTCCCCCAGTGGGCCCATCTCCCCCACTGCCTGTACTCCAAACACTTCCCATGGGGCAGTCTGTGCTCCAGTCACCTGCGATGACTCACTTGCCTCTGAGTGGCTCTTTTCTTCAGTTGTTGTGGTGCCTTGTTCCTGTGTGGATCCAGGGGAACTCTGTTAGTGGTCTTGCTAGCCTGAGGGCCACTAGGGCTCTCTTCTCCCCTGCTGCCTCCAAGCAACCTCACCTGAAGGGCACAGCTACAGCTTTTGATAACTCTTGCTCTCACCAGCTCCAGCCTTGAAGTGGCTGAGATTTGAAATGATGGGAGCGATTCTTCCTTTCTCTTATCATGGCTTCTCTGCCTTCATGAACTCCGGACATCTCTCCTCCTTCGGCCCCAGCTTGGCCATTGTTGCTTTCTAATAGTTGTAAATTGGTTGCTTTGTGGGAGAGAGTGACGTTGGCGAATATTTATTCCGCCATCTTGACTGGAAGCCTTATTTTTCTTTTTATAAAAGTGTCTTGAATTTGATGGAGCTTATGTTGAGAAATAAAGTTTATATTTTTTATCTTTTAATTCCATTTTCCCACAAACTTTTTGAAGTCTCCTCATATATAAAAATAATTCACTGCACATTGATTAATAGCTAATAATTGGCAACAATCTAGATGTCAAAGGAAGGAAAATAATGGTTATATAAATAATGCAGTCGACATAATGAAATACTAAGCAGCTATGAAAAAGAACAAGCTAGATATACATGTATTGATTACAGGCTATCCATCATAAATTTGGTGAAAAAAGAAAGCCATGGCTCTGTATGATTTGTGGTTAAAAAATACTTAATCTATAAATATATGGAATATGGAAAAAAAATCTGATAGAATATATACAAAACCATTAACGATGTTTTGGTCACCTACATGGAATGGGAACAGAAACTTAGGGAATGAAGACTTCCACTTTTACTTTTTATATTTCTGTATTACTTTAATTTTCACAAAGTAATTTTATATAGTAAAAAAACTAATAAAGATAAACACCAAATTTTTAGGATGACCTTTTAGAAAAATATTTAATAACATGGTGGAGGGATGGAGAATGTTCATGATATACTATTAATTGAAAAAGGCAAGTCTGGCCTGTTAGCTCAGTTGGTTAGAGCATGGTGTTATAACAGGAAGGTCCAGGATTTGGATCCCTGTACCCACCAGCCGTCAAAAAGAAAAAGGCAACATGCAAAATAGTTAACTCAGTATAAGCCAACAGACAAAATATATAGATCTCTATGTTCGGGCCGAAGAGTTAGAGAAATACACCAAATATAAAATGATCTTTTAAAAATGTCTAGATGGTAGAATGACTTATGGGTGTTCTTACAAATACTTTTCAGTACTTCTTAAATGTTCTATTATGACCATATTACTTTTATAATCTGAACAATGTCATTTAAACAAATAGGAATGGAAAATATTAGTGGAAAGGAGACACATCCCTTTCTCAACCCATGTAGACCTGGGAATATAAGTGAAAACTTCTAACCATTCAGCAAGTTCTTGGTTTATAGCAGTTCCTTTCTATTTTCAGAAATAATTCAAGATTCATTAGTATTGAAACAATCAAATTTGGGCTTTTGGGGGGTTTTTTGTTTGTTTATTTTGTTTTTTAACTTCTCAATATACACTGTAGTTGATTTTTGTGATCCTTTACCCATTCCTCTTCCCCCAAAACAATCAAATTTGGTTCACATCATAAACTCTATTCTATTCTAAAGAGATTTCACTGTAATTTTATACAGTGTATTCAGTAAAGGCTGGCAGAATTATAACATTATAAAAGTTTATTATTGGACTGACCTGTTAGCTCAGTTGGTTAGAGTGTGGTGTTGAAAACACCAAGGTCCAGGATTCAATCCCTGTACCAGCCAGCCACCAAACAACAACAAAAAAACGTTTATTATGTGTCCCACTAGGTAATTCAATATGCCCTGGATTTTAATAATTCCTGTGGGATAGTGGCTAATCAAACAGTTCAATCCCTGTACCAGCCAGCCACCAAACAACAACAAAAAAACGTTTATTATGTGTCCTACTAGGTAATTCAATATGCCCTGGATTTTAATAATTCCTGTGGGATAGTGGCTAATCAAACACTTTTTTGTTTACTTACCGTGGAGAATCTATTCCACTATCTCCTGCCATGCTATGATTTTCTGTTCCTTCCAACTGACTGTGTTCATGTTGGATATCCTGAGCCAACAATGGCATATGTGAAGTGTTGAAAAGTTCTAACTTTTGGGTCAAATGTTTTCTCATTTCCTGATTCTGAGGACTCTGATGCCAGCCAGCTGGTTTCTTTCCTGTGTCACCAACAGAGTCTCGTAGGGTTTCAGCCTCAGAATTGGCTTTCCTTGTGTTACAGTAATCAAACATACTTCCATCAGCATGTGACGAGGCCTGCACACATTTAGCAACACTCAGTTTCTCTTCAAAGTCAAAAACAAACTGGGTCCCTGAGTTTAGGCCTTGGCTTTCAGCAGAGAGATCAGGCTGTTGATTTTCACCTGGGCTAGTGAGCAACCCAGTGGGTCTATAACATTCATTTCTTTCAAGCACCTGAGGCTCAAACCTTTTGCTATGGTACTCAGTCTGAGATCTCTCAGTCACTTTTTGTCTTCTTAAATGATTCCACTTGCTTCCACCTGTGAGGGAATTGGGGCCAGGCAGCATTTGGCATAAGTCCTCATTCTCAGAAAAGTCATCCTCTTCTAGATATAATGAACTGCAGGCACCTTCATCATCTTCCACTTCATTCTCATACAAGGCCTGGTCGTTATCAGAAAGCCCTTCATTTTCTAGACTCACAGTCTCTGCATCCTGAACAAATGCTTTTGTCATTTGCTCTTCTGAGTCTCTGTCTTGTCTCTCAGATTGTCTCAAATGGTTTGCACCAACTGGGTAATCCAAAAGGCCAAGATTTTGAAACTGGTGTAATGTTTTGTCAACTAATGTACAAGCAGAGGATGTTTGGTCTAAATAAGAGGAATCTTGTGATGGCAGGATATGCTGTGTTTCTTTGGTCTCCTCTAACTTGTCAAAGTGAGAATGACTTTTCCACAAGACTTCAGGGATTACCTCATTTTCTCCACTACACACATCATATCTCAACGTGATTTCCCTAAAGGAATAGCACTTACTGTCATCTTGAAAAATGCTACATTGGGGGTAATCTGAGAGGTGATCCTTGAAGTCCTGACTAATAGGTCTGACAGAGTTATTCATAGAAATGGATTCTGCTTTCAGCTTATCATTACCTTGTTCAGCACATTGCTGTTTGGCTTCACTATCAAAGATTCTTGAGGAATCCAAAGACCTTGACCTTTGGAAAGACTTTTCCTTTGCTCCAATCTGACTGGGTTTCAGGTCAGTGGTCTTCTGAATTTTGTGCCCTTTAGTTATCAGGCTCCCTCGGTAAGACAAACCCTGGAAAGGATTACTGATTCGCTTTTTGTAAAGCAAATGGGGGCCTAGCACTGTCGGATTCTCACCAAGTGGTGTCTGAGCTACTGCTTCATTTGGGCTTTTGATTCTGGAGCTGGGCTGTGTGGCATGGAGCTTAGGGCACTTCTCCAGTCTCATGCTTCCTGGCTGATGCTCACTTCCCTGACTCCTGGCTTTGTGTCTATCCCTATGTGAATGGCCCTGCCTTCGAGGCTTTGCAGACCGACCCTGTCTTCTCTTAACTCTCTCTCTTGAAGGATATTTATGCCTAGCTGTAAGCATATCAGTGGAAGTGCCCTGGCTATTATAATTTTTCCGCTCTTCATATTTTTGCATTAGGACAGTGTGTTTGATTAGGTTGTCAACAGTCAGAACAGGGTTGATTCGTTTGATTATCTCATGTTCAACATCTCGAGGGATATTGTCCAAGTTATCTTCATCTCGGACAGGCCATTCTTCAGGTGGGAATTGAGCAGAGAAACTTCTATGCTCTGTTTTGGGCTTCTCCTTCCTGGATAGGCTGCGCCACAAGAGACTAAAACCAAACTTCTTGCCCTTTTCTCTGTCTCTCGTGTATGGTAGTTTGGTGCTCTCACAGACATGATTCTCCTCAGACACTGAAACTACCCGATTCTGTACCCAAGGTTTGCACTCCCCAAGACCTTTCTGGTCTTTTCTAGTCACTTCTGCAGCAGGTGGTGGTTCCTGCACATCCTGAATGCACACGTCAGGGACACATCGGCAAGACCGGCAATGGGAGATGGGGACAGCATTCTCTGGGGCTGACTCTGCACAGCTCTCCATGCTCACCAGATACGTCACTCGGTGACTTTCCTCTGATAGGAGGACTCTCTTATTTTCCTGGGTGGTTGTATTTGTGATGAAATACGTCTGAGGAGTTACTATGAAGTATCCTTCTCCAGTGTGATAAATCTTCCTTTCTTTAATCAGAGTTCCCAGAGTGGTATAGAGAATCTCTTGGGATGGAACTGCAATACCTGGAACAAACAAGAATGTTTTACACTGATAGATTTTGAAGAAAAAAACATTTTTTTTTTCCTTTTTGTCTTTTTTACTGACTGGTAACGGGATCACAACCCTCGGTGTCGCGCCCGTACTGGGGACTGGCAATGGGATCGCCACCCTCGGTGTTGCGCCCGCACCGCGCTCAGCCAGGGAGCGGGAACCGGTCTCCACATGGGATCCGAACCCTCGGCGGGAGCGCTGCCACGCTCCCAAGCGGCACACTCTCCAGTGTGCCACCGGGCCGGCCCAAGAAAAAACATTTTAATGAGTGAAATCAATGACTCAGGAATGACCACACATTTGCTCGATGAACCCGGGGCTAACTATAACACAATTAACATAATTAAAATGCCAAAGAAGCATAAATAATATTCATAAATTAATTAAATAATAGGAATATTATTTGGTCCACAAAAAATATATAGCTAGGTTAATGGTTAAATAGAGAAAAAAATCTGAATTCATTCAAATACAAACCCATTATAAATTTAAACTTTGACTGAGGAAAGCATTCTTGATAAACAAACAGCGGAGTTTTTGAAATCCACAGTCTCATGTCTTAAATTTTCATAAGAATCCATAAAGAAAATAAAAACCAGTCTGTGCTTGGGTGAGGGTAAACTACTTAACATCTGCATATGGTATTTTTCAAAACAAAAGGTAACAAAATAATTTTAAAAGAAATTCTATTTTGCTAATAGCAAGGTTCAAAGTTATGAAAACAATGTTAACAAAGTTTGTATAAGAAAAACACTGGAAAAAATATATCAATAAGTTAACATTGGTTTCCCTTGGATACTGTGAGTGGTTACTTTTTTATATTTTCTGGAATTTTCTACAATAAGTATATTCATTTTATAAAGGGATAAGGAATATTCATGTATAATCTTATTTTAGGATATCATGAAGCTCTTAAAAAATGAGATAGATCAATATATGCTGGCATGGAAAGATCTTCTAGATATGTTTTTAAGTTAAAAAGGAAAAGATGCAGAGAATGTATAGAATGATTCAATTTACGTTATAAAAATATATATATTCAAATATAATTTATGAAAGTATATACTAGAAATGATAAGCAATAGCGGTTGTCACCTCTGGGAAGTGGGAATGGAAAAATGGGAGATGGGGACAGATGAACTTTTCATTTTGCACTCATTTCTACACAGTCTTATTTATTGCCATAAGCAGTTATTTTTTAAAAAGTTCATCTGGAAAATAAAATAAATTCCTTAACAAATTTGTTGATGCAGGACTTTTTCTGGCAGGGTTCTGATATAAGGTTCTATAGAAGAGGGGGGAAAAAGTATATCACCCAGTTTACTTATTAGTTTAAGATTATTTATAAATAGAAACCAAACACATGCAATGAACTACAAATAGAGAAAAACTTATTACTCTACCTGGATAATGTTTCATCAAATGCTCCAAAAGTGATTCCTGTGTTACTACAATCTGAGCTGCATTCATATCAGATACAGCACAGCAAAGAACTTCAGCCAAAGGTACAAACTGAGATTGAGCGATTGGATTCATTTGCACTGGAAAGGCATCACCTAAATTGGAGATTTAAAAAAGCGGAGGAATTTAAATTTGAGATAGTATAAAATGTTTAGAATTAGTGAACCAGGAATAATTATAAAGACTGAACAGCAAGTGGAATTGGTGTTCTTTCATCAGTCCTTACTCAGAATCTATTAACATGATATGCACAGTGATAGAAAGTATGGAAGAAAGAGGTTTACATTATGGTCTCTATTTTTTTTTTTTTTTCCTTTTCGTCTTTTTTACTGACTGGCAACGGATCGCAACCCTAAGTGTCACGCCCGTACCGGACCGGGACCGGCAACGAGATCGCAACCCTCGGTGTTGCGCCCGCACCTCGCTCAGCCAGTGAGCGGGAACCGGTCTGTATGTGGGATCCGAACCCTCAGCGGGAGCGCCGCTGCACTCCCAAGCGGCGCACTGTAGCAGTGCGCCACCGGGCCAACCCATATGGTCTCTATTTTTAAGAGGTTTATAGGATCCGTCACTAAAAGAAAGAGACAATTTCCATACAAAAGGCACAAAGTGCTATCAGAGTTCAGGAGGTCAGACAATGCTTATGTAACAGTCCACATCTTTCTTTTTTTTTTTTTTTCCTTTTTGTCTTTTTTCGTGACCGGCAAAGGATCGCAACCCTCAGTGTCGCGCCCGTACCGGACCAGGACTGGCAACGGGATCGCAACCCTCGGTGTTGCACCCGCACCTCGCTCAGCCAGTGAGTGGCCGGTCTGTATGTGGGATCGGAACACTCGGAGGGAGCGCCGCCGCGCTCTGAAGCGGCGCACTGTAGCAGTGCGCCACCGGGCCGGCCCGACAGTCCACATCTTTTAAAGCACTTTTTCATATTAGCTATCTGAGAAAGTCAGAGGTGGGATTACTATTCCTTTACTTAAAATATATAAAGTTATGAAAAGCTCCATTATCCCAAGTCTAAAAGAGAATAAAGGGACAGAAATAAGTCTTCTGACTCCTAATACAGTATTTTCACCATTCCACACTATCCTGATTGGAATGATCAGGAAGATTTCAAGAAGGAAAGGGCAGAAGTGCTTTCGCATTAGCAAGAAGACATGGAGCAAAACCATGGAAGGAGGAAAGCACAAGGCATGGAAGAGCATGGATAGAGTCATCCTGGTTGAAGAGAGTTTAACGTTTATACAGGACCAAAGTAGCAGATAAGGCTGGAAATGTAAGCTAGGCCAAACTGTCTTCCCCGCTGGCTAACGTATTAAATGTTCTCTTTAACCTGCCTTTATTCAGGTTGAGTTTCAGATTCTCTTCAACATCCTTGGGAACCCCTTAGTCAATTGAAAATGAGACACTAGGACTCGGGAAAGAGATCTGGGAATCAACTACCAGAGATGAGATCTGAAGCTAAGGAGTAAAATTAATTATGTAAAGGAGAGTAAAGCAGAGAGCCTAGGAACACTTAACTAAGAAACTACCTACGGTGAAGAGGTAATAGGGATAAGAGCCCACAAAAGAGAGAAGGCACAGTTATGAGGGTAGGGGGGAGAACCAGGAGTATTAAAAAAAAAAAACCGGCTTCAAAATAAATAGCAATGGGTTGGCTGATTAATAACTCAGTTGGTTAGAGCACAGTGTTGATAACACCAAGATTACGAGTTCAGATCCCCGAGCTGACCAGCCACAAAAAAAAAAAAAAGAATAGCAAATCAACAGTGTCAAATGCTTGAAAGACAGCAAGAAGGTCGAGGATGGAGAAAGGCCATTGGATTTCCTGTTAGAAGGTGAACAATGGTGAATTTTCACTAGAAAAGACAGAAATTAAAGGTCAGATTGAGGGGCAGGGAACTGGTGAGAAAAAAGTGAAGTTAATGGGTCTTCTTTCCAGAGCACGGTTTCCCAGTTTCAGCACTTTTTTTTTTTTTTTTGTCCTTTTTTTTTTTTTTTTTTTTTTACTGACCAGTAACGGGATTGCAACCCTCGGTGTTGTGCCCGCACCGCGCTCAGCCAGTGAGCGGGAACCGGTCTCCACATGGGTTCCGAACCCTCGGCGGGAGCACTACCGCGCTCCCAAGCGGCGCTCTCTCCGGTGCGCCACCAGGCCGGCCCCAGTTTCAGCACTTTTGACATTTGGGGCCAGATATAGGATGACCAAAAATCCCAGTATGCCCAGGACTGAGGGATTTCCTGGAACACAGGACTATCAGTGCTATAATCCTATAACTGGGAAAGTCACAGGCAAACCAAGATGGTCTGTCATCCTACAGACCATCCTACAGCCAGATAATTCTTTGTTGTGGGGACTGTCGTGTGCATTGCAGAATGTTTAATAGCATCCCTGGCCTCTTCTCACTAGATGCCAGTAGCATTCCCCACAGTTGCAGCAACCAAAAATTTCTCCAGACATTGCCAAATGTCCCCTGGAGGACAAAAATCATCCCAGTTGAAAATCACTGTTCCAGACCATTTCTACGAGAAACCTAATCATAAAAGTGATGATAAATCAGAAGTACAATCAAGTGAATATGACTGTGTGTGTATGTTCTGATTTTCTTAATAAAAAGACCTCTGTCCCTCGGATGCCAAAAGGAAGGGCTTACGGGAGATGATGGGAATGATTCTGCATGAGAAAAGACCAATTAAGCCAGCAAGATCTCAGAGAAGGTGAAAGGGAAAGTCTATCAAAGGCACAGGCTAGTTTAGAAATGAGGAAGATATTGGGCGAGCCCGTGGCGCACTGGGGAGAGTGCGGCGCTGAGAGCGCAGCGACGCTCCCGCCGCGGGTTCGGATCCTATATAGGACTGGCCAGTGCACTCACTGGCTGAGTGTGGGTCACCAAAAAGACAAAAAAAAAAAAAGAAATGAGGAAGATATTATTTCATCTGAGACTAGAGAAAATAAGAGTGTGGCAGAAGACCAGAAATATAGTGAGGCAAAGAAGGAAAAAAAAAATTGCACAGCAAGGTCATCTGATCTCTGTAACGTCAGACAGGGAGAAGACCAGAATGGGAGAGGAAAAAATGGGAATAAAAGGATGGAGCGTAGAAAGAGTGGTTGAGGAGCTATTCTTGAAATATACTAGGAAATAAAAAAATAAGATTGTGAAGGAGCCCTGAGTCTCAAGGCAACTTAAGCATTGTTTCTGGCAGAGGGGTGGCAATATGTAATGGAAAATGATGAAACCCAGGGAGACTAGCATATGCTTCTAAAACTTTAATGTGCATATGAGAATCACCAGGGGATCTTGCTAATAATGTGCAGATTCTGATTCAGAAGGTCTGAGGCAGGCCCATGATTTTGCATTTCTAAAAGTCACTTGGGATGAACACACTTGCAAGTCTGAGTACACTTGCAGGTCTAAGAGGGTTAGGGGGTGTTAATGATTGCAACAAACTAGCTAACCATTCAACAAATAAAAATGGTTCAGGGGCTAGGTGGTGAATCAAGTGTAACCAGAAGGAAGCTAAAAAACTGAGAAAAGTTGGCTTTACCCTGTGGTTAACTCACCCTGTGACAGTGGAGAAACCAGTACATTGCACTGGGGGAAGGAAGGTAGTGAACTGGCAAGGTGTACAGGGTTGAAGCCAAAACTGGTAAGTGGCCAGTCGTATTTGCATGAAGATAAAGGACTTCCATAGGAAAATGATAAGCAGTTTGCTGTTACACATCACATTGTTCTGTTCCCTTGTTTACTTAAGCTTCTCCTTCTGGCAGGCTGGGGCATCCCTGGCTTTGGAAGGTCACATCACAGGGTAGAATTGCTGTCTGCTTCTGCAGTCTAAGGAAGGCTCTCCTCTTGGGGTGGTTGTAGCTATCCCATTGGATGATGCTTATAGCATTCTGAGAAGCTAAGACGAATGGCTAATCAGTTAATTAGCATTTCAAACGATGGTGATGGATGATGCCCTGAAACTCACTCATTAATGTCCAAATGGGACATTAATTTACCTAAAACACAAAATCCTCCTTGAAACTCTTCTGAGCTAAGGATAAGGCTCTGTCCCTATCCCACTCCCTCTCTGCCTTTCTTTTTTCCTTGGGCATCTGAGATTTGCCTTCCTCATTTTTTTTTTTTTTTTTTTTTTTTTAAAGATGACTGGTAAGGGGATCTTAACCCTTGACTTTGTGTTGTCAGCACCACGCTCACCCAGTGAGCAAACCGGCCATCCCTATATGGGATTTGAACCCGTGGCCTTGGTGTTATCAGCACTGCACTCTCCCGAGTGAGCCACAGGCCGGCCCCTGCCTTCCTCATTTTCATCTCCCTCCTCAACAAGAGAAAATATGAAATTAAAGTACAACTTTAAATACTTGTATGCTTCTTTGATATAACTTTATGTGCTTATTTTTAAATAAGTGACTTTAAACTTTTATATCTCTCTGAGGTTCAAACAGCATATTCGCTCCATGCCTTGAAGGTGATTATCAATTAGTTTAAGGTGAGGTTTGGTATCATGACCATTTTAGAGGAAACGCAGCCAAAGACAAAGCTTGTAACCTTGGGTCACCAAGTAAGACAAGGCAGAACCAAAATCAAGTTACAATCTGCCTGGCCCAATCCTGTGTTTGCTTCATCCACTGAAAAAACCCTTGAAGTAAAAAGCATCTTTCTATTGCACTCTGGCTCTTGGGCTAATGTTGGAGTCCTGTGGACATAACCAATCGTCGAGCTACTTTACTACGCCAATTGTGGTGCTCTGCTAATGTCAGAATCCTGCTCACTGGGCCAATTGTAAAGCTACTCTACCTGCCCGTAATCCTGCCGACTGGGCCACTTGTCGAGCTAGGGCTGGGTCTGGAGCTCACAGACCCCTCAAGCCCATTCACAGACTGGGTCACAGACCCTTCACATGCCAGGCTGGGTCACCAGACTCCTCACACGCGAGGCTGGGTCACCAGACCCTTTACATGCAGGTCTATGAGCTAGGTAACTAGCAAACAGGTCTTTGGAAGCCAAGGTTGGAAAGCATGGCTGCATGGAGCAGCAGCTGCTGCCCGAGGCAGTAAACTCCAGCTAGGTGGCCGGCGCCCTGCAGGCGCACTAACTCCA